CAACGGTTTGGCTGGTCTGCTGCTAGATTCGGGGGCATCCTTTTCGTGCTCCCCTTGCCGACCTGCTTTATTGTTATTATTATTATGCTGTACAAAATTTCTTAAGTATCCGCGACGGATGAGTCCCTCTATCTCGTCCCGGAGATTATTACACTGTTCGGTACTATGACCGTGGTCTCTATGGAAACTACARTACAAATTCTTATTTCTCTCGTTCGGATTTCCCTTTAGGCGAGGTGGCCACTTAACGTATGGGGCGTCCTTGATTGTCATTAAGATCTCGGTCCGCCTCGCGTTTAACGGCGTGTAATCCATCCGAACTGCTAGGGGAGCCCGGAATGACTGGTTCGGCTTCAGCTCTCGGGCCAGGTTTTTCCTGTCGACTGGGTTGGAGGGCTCGCCTTCCCTCTTTCTTTTCTCATTCCCGCTTTCGGTTCGTTGGTTGATTTCTTCCTCTGTCCTCATGAACTTGTCCGCGAGCTTGAGGAATTCRGCCACGGTTGCAGGYTGGTTAGCTACCATGTGCCACTTGAACTCTTTGTGCGTTACTCCTCTCTTGGCCGCCGCGAGCTGCACCGCGGGGTCTAACCGCGGTATCTGTAAGCATGCTTCATTGAATCGCTTGATGTAGCCCCGGATGGATTCTCCTTCCCTCTRGACTACTCCGAAGATGTTTTCCTCTATTCTGGGGCACCGTTTGCTGGTGACAAAGTGTGCGGTGAAGACCTGCACGAACTGGGCCCAGCATTTTATCGACCCGGGGGCCAGGTTCTTGTACCAAGTGCAGGCTACCCCCCTGAAGGTGGTGGTGAAGGCCACGCACATGCACGATTCATTGGCCCTGGCGATGTGCATTTGGGACTGGAAAGCGTCAACGTGGTTGTTGGGGTCGAAGGACCCATCATACTTGTCCAAAGGTGGGATCTTGAAATCCCTGGGTAAGGGGACTGCCAGGAGTTCTGATGCAAGGGGGGAAGGAACTGAGAGAATCGGGGCAGCTCCTACCTCGTCTGAGCTCGTCTCTTCCTTGCCTCTGAGCTCTGACAGGACACGTGTGGCAATTTGGCGATTTCGCCGACGCCTTCGTTGTTGAGTGGGCCTGGTACTAGCGCTGCTGGCCTCTGTGTTGCCGAGCTCGGTGGGCCCGGAATGCTGGTAGTCTGCTGCCAGGGCGCCGAATCGGTTTTCTGTGAGTGGGAACTCGGGCTTGGAGCACCGAGGTGCTGATCTTGCGGACGAGGTTCCTGACCCGCCTGCGAGCTGCGAGGCGGGGATGATTTTTCTCTCTCTTCGGCCTGGGGACGAGGCCTGGCTGCTAGGGGGGTTCTGGGGCCGGGAGGCCTTTCCCTGGTGGGGGCGTCCATCTTGTGGGGAGGCCTTAACCGGCCTCGGAGCAGGGTGCCGAGGTGGAAGTGGTGGTTGGTTCAGCGGCAGTTGGGGGAACTGCTATTGATAGTGATACTGGGAGATGTGGTGCAGTACTTGGTGCTGATGAAGCTGGTGTTGCTGGAACTGTTGCATTTGGACTTGCATTGCCCGCATGCACTGCATCAGGTCGTCCAACCGGTTTTGGCTGGCTGCCAGGGGGACGGCAGTTGGTTCAGTGAAGGTTGCATCAATAGGGGGAGGAAAGGGGATGCTCATGGCAGGAAGGTTTGCGGGCGCCACTGCTTGTGGCGCATTCAAGATGGGGATCCCATCTACCAAGAGGGGGATGGTGAACTGTCCAACGTACACCACGGGGACTTGAAGTTGTTCCCCGATGGTGTTTGTCTCCGTGCCACATCCGGCGTTGCTGGAAGAAGCCATGAGTGTTGGGTTTTTGAAGAAAAGAGGTTATGAGAGTTTGGAGGGAGGCCTTTTGAAGCGTTTCCCACAGACGGCGCCAATTGATGATGCGCAATCCAGCCGGTCTTAGCTATCAACGACCTTGCCTCTGAACTGAGCAGCAGGGAACCTGAAATGGAGAAGATGAGGAAGCTCCGGGAGGAACCCAATGTAAAGGCTCCGAAGCTCAAGTTAGAATCCTTCAAAGGCGAGATAAAACCAGATAGCGCAAAGTTTTGCATACCTGTCCTTGGGGGGTAGAGAGCCTTTTATAACCACCTCGCGCACTCACTCCTAGGCTCCTGTCAGGTCGTGTATGATTACTTCCGTGCTTCTGCCAGTTCGGGTGTCATCACCTCTGCTGGGGCAGAACCGCCACTGCTCTTTTTGTCGGAGCCGTCTCTGTAACTAGAGATGG